TAACAAGTTATAACAAGTTCATTAATGAACATGTACAAGAACTTGTACATTTTCTTCTACAAGGTTTTTCAGCCCGGTAGTTTTAAGTAAAGAAAAACATGAATTAACATGTTGCAAGAACATGGACGTGTTCATGTACAAGGACTTATACATGAAATTGTACAAGATCATGTACATTTTCTTGTACAAGATCTTGCACCAGATCTTGTTCCAAATTCGTATGCAATTTCCTGTACAGGAACTGGTCATAACTTGTACAAGTTCAGTTGCTGATCCTGTACAGGAAATTGTACAAGATCTTGTACAGGGATTTTCAGTAGGGTTTCCACTCAGTTTCTACACAATTTTCACTCCAACTAAATGTTTAACCAATGTGTAACGAATGTACAACGAATTCAGCGTACATTCCGATTTCGAGATCCGCCAGGGAGTATATAAAGTGGCTCAATAAAGTACTCATGACAAGATTTTAAGAAAGAAGGGGGGATATCATCAGGTTCCGCCCCCTTATTACCATCAAAACCTTTAAGTTTAATACGAATGTCTGATCTTTTAATTAACACAGAATGTAAATTATTAAAATTTGAGAAATCAGAGTTAGAATTGTTACTGTTATTCAAACTATCCGGATAAACATTCTTAAAAAATTCCGCAAATAAATTGGCAATATCTCTATCGTTGTCGACTTCAACACCTAACAATTTCATTATCTTGGGTATACCACTATCATTACGTGAAGCAATCGCAAAGTTCCAAAACTTTTTTGGACAATCCAGCAATGATTTTTCAATGTTCACAAAATAAGAATCATATCAAAATTTTGACAATTTTTTACACTCTGACCTTAAGCTTGAAAAAGTATTATAATTGTATTTAGTACTGTTTTGTTTATACCTTCTATGCGCAATTTTTTATAACAAGTAATACGCTTTAAGTCTTGGCTAAACCAAGTCGGATATTTATTATGAAAAATTACTTTAATTGGAACAAAAAATTCAAACACTGTATAAACGTATTCATAAAAAATATTTAAAGCAAAATTAACATGAGTGTTATTTAGACAAGTACCCCAATTGGAGGATGTAATACATCGATTGGAACAATTATATCGATCGCCAAAGTAAGCGTATAGTTGTATGAATTTTAAAATATAAGATCTAAGATCGTATTACAACTATTAGTAAAAGTGTTCAATTGACTCAAATTTAAATAGTTTAATAACTCAAAAATAATATCTGCAATTTTTCTTTGAGATAGTGAAGAACTCGGGAAACAACTATTAGCCAAATTAAGATTTGAGTTATAATCCCAACAAATAAAAGGTGTGTTGAAATCACCCAAGATACATAATACGGCATGTGGATATAACAAAGCAACATTTTCTAAAATTTTGTTAACTGTAATATAAATATTTATGTCAGAATTTGGAGGTATATAAAAGGCACAAAAAATATAAATATCGGAATTTATGTGACATTTTACCAGTAAATGTTCAATTGAATTTACTTCAGATTCGATCAACGAAGCACGTAAGAAAAAACTTGTATCAATCAGTACACCACCACCACGTTTAAATACACTAGAAAGAGAACACCTGTCAAACCTGAATATGTTACAATTATGAAATACCAATTCACTATTGTGTCAGTTTTTTTATCATCATTGTCACAAGTAGTGACACTCGATTCAGAAAGCCCAAACAGTATTAAATTACATTTTCGTTTTATTCTGTCCTCAAGTTCAGATAAAAAATTATTAATTTGAGAAAAACGATCTAATTTTGTAGACGTGTTATTCGATAAATCGTGTAAATTACCTTCAATAATCGTAATTCTCTCAGTCAAATTGTCAACTCTTTTGACAGTGCCACGAACTGTAGTGTGCAAGGCGTTCAGATCCTCAACTATGTCATGTACATCAGAAGTGATGTTTCCTATTTCATTTTTTATATCTTTTATTGAGGCAGACATTGTGTCTAATTTATTGTTTAAAGCAGACATTGCATTATTCACTATTCGCTCAATATCAGATACAGTAACTGCAGTTTGCACTTGAGAAGATGAGGGGGGGGACATCAAGGCTGTTGGGTGAATTCGCACGTGGTGGACCACAACATCGCGAAAAAGAACCATTTTCTAGCAGCACTGACCTGGATGCACATGAGGAGTGGTACGGAGCATGACAACCAATGCACTCTTTAATAGCGTCTACAACTTTTTTGCCACAACGAACACAAAATTTATCACCAGTATTTAATTTCGAGTCACACATTTTATATGAAAATCAATTTTGAGGTTAGGAAACTATAAGTACGGTCCTCAATGATTAAGAGGAAGACAAAATAAGTAAAAACAGTAACAAATTGTAGGCACCAAAACAAACAACCAGATTGACCGAAAACGCTCAAGCCGAACCAAACTCGGAAAAATTTATTTAAAAAAGTATACTGAGCAACAAGCGAAAACGTGTTCAGAGGTAGCCACCTAGCGGACTATACTTCGGATTATGAGAAAATCATATAAAAAATTCATTAATGAATTTACCTTTTGTTCGTTTACTGTTTCCAACATTTGGTTGCGGTAATTTAGCTGGCACTGATTCTTTCGGTTGTTTCTGCTGAGAAGGTTGTTGAGGAGGTTGATAATCCTTGATCGTTTCATGCTCCATTTCGGCAAATCACCACTTAGAGAAAAGTCTAGAAAAATAAAAATTCTGATATTTCATCAAAAAACATTATACACGTACGATATTAAAAAATATTGAAATATGCTTTATTTAATACAAAGTGTCTAAACGTCCGGCTAGACGGACATCAAAAAACGTCTAAACGTCCGTCTATATTCACCCGACTTTGTCTGCAGAATACTTTCGGGCATTTCCGACCCCCCCTTCCTCCAAGGTTTCCTTAAAATATACGTAGACGGACAAAATTATCAAAAATTATTTTGTCCGTCTAGTCGGACGAATAGACGCAGCGTATTTAATAAGTACTATTAAATTTATTTCAGCCAAGTGCATTATTAAGTTCCTAAAGAAGGTGCAAAATTTAATGTTAGGTTTAACGTTTCTGTCTTCCGTTTGTGTGAAAGAAATCCATATTTTAACGTATTCTTAATATAATTACATTTGTTAAAAAAAGTATTTCTAATATCACTAAAACATTTTGTAATAATGAACAATAATGAGTCTTGTCTTTGCTTTCGTAGCGAATAGACGTGTTTGTCCGTTTTGTTGGTACGTTAAAGGTGACGATTACGTGTTTGTCGCTGGAGCGATTTAAGTTAATTGTGCAAAGTTTTTGAAAAAGTTTTTTTTTTTTTTTAAGTTTTTGAGCAGCCAACCCGTATTGATGGCTTGTGTTTTGTACCCCTATTATCTTTCTACTGCAAGTGTGTTTTCTATTCTTTTTCGGGCCCGTAAAGGATATAACTTGTGTTTTGGTGCTTAGTTTATTACTATTATACTATGGAAAAGCTACAAGAGTCAATTATAACATTGACAAATGCCATTGAGTGTTTAACCAAATCTCACAACGAGCTGAAAAAGGATGTGCAAGAAGCATGCAGTTCTGCTAGAGAGACCATGAGTAATCTTGATAAATTGTCTAGTAGAGTCAAGAAGCTCGAGACGAAAATTGAAACACCTAATTGTACTGATAAATCCAACAATATTGTTATTTTCAAACTGAAGGACAATGACGATAATAATAGCGATTTAATTAAGACAATTATAAATACATTAGCAAAAATAAATATTGTGATCCCTGACGTGGCTATCGCGGATGCCTATAGGCTAGGAAAAGTGACAGGCAATCGCCCAGTGTTGTTAAAATTTGTTGCTATTCGTTGGGTAAAACTAGTCTTCGCAAATGTTCAGGAATTTAAGAAGCTTGATCTTGGTATTTCCAACGACCGTTCAAGTCAAGAAAGGAATCATATAAGGAAAATGGTTAATCTGTCAACCAAGCTTCGAGAAGTTGGTTTGAATGCTTTAGTGAAGAGGAACAAGCTTTTCATTGACTCAATTGAGACCAGTGAAAGAGATGCAGAACTTAAGTTACAGAGCATTACGAGGGACAAGAAGAAGAAGCGTAAGAGTGAGGAAGACCAGGAGGACGGAGAAAAAGAAGAAGTAGGCGATGAAGCGGTAGATGGTAGGGATGTAAGCGGTGGGGATTCGGAGAAGAGGAGAAAGGGCCCTGGCCGCCCCCCCAAACTGGCAAAAGTGACAGAGTCACAGGCGCATCGATCCATGGATTCTTTCTTAATAAAACCGTCGAAACTTGGTATGCCCCTCTCTTCACAATCGAGTGCAAAGGGAACTCCCTCCATTTCGGCAGAAGTCTCGGCTGATTAGCAGTCATCCATTCGGTCCTTGAATGCATCTAATGATTCCTATCAGAAGAGACTTGGATCTCCTAAAGAAAATTCTCTCATAATTATATTCTGGAATTCTCATGGTTATTCTAACATCAATGAGATATTTCGATTGACCAATCCGGAGGATATATTATGTATTTATGAAACGTGGGCCACCTCTATCAATCAGTGTGCTGGCAATTTTTCGGAGGATATTCAAATTTTCCATTCACCAGCGTGGCGCGAAGCGGAGAGAGGAAGATTCATGGGAGGCATTCTATTTGCGGCAAATAAAAAGAGGTTCGTGTCGGAATTGTTGGTCGCGGAATATGAGTTTTTAATTGTTAAAATAAAAAAGGGTGAATTTGAATTTTTACTATGTATTATATATATATTTCGCCTCTTGCGAACTTTAAAGATTTTTTAGATAAGTTTGATTAAATTTTGACGACTATAAAAGCGAATTATGATTATTTACCGGTTTTTATAGGAGGGGACTTCAATAGTAGACTCGCAGGTTTAAATAATTTAGATAGGCAATTATATTTTGATGGATTTAAAGTAGGATCGAATCGTTCCTCACTGGATAATATTATTACAAAAAAGGGAAAAATGTTAAATAATTTTATGAAACTTTATGACATGGTATTGTTAAATGGAAGGTCAAACTCAGATTCTCCGGCGAATTGGACCTTTGTCGGGCATCAGGGTAGAAGCGTAACAGATTTAATCTGGGCATCTTTGGATGACCTTGAAATTGTAGAAGACCTGAAGGTGCTCCCTTTGGCAACCTTATCCGACCATCTACCTGTGGCTGTTTATTTAAAAGATTCAAAAACAGAAGTTTGTGATTACGGATCAGAAAAGACTACGTCTTGGAAATTAAAATTTGATAAATTAAAATCTGAGGAGTTTACAGGTATCATGCGATGGAGGGATGAGGTTGCGAATGTGGAGGGCGACATTGATAAATTAAATGACAATTTAATTGGAACTGTGACTGATGTTGCAGATAGACTAGGTATGCGAATAAAATGTGAACAAAGGTCTGTTTTTATTTCACGAAATAAACCTTGGTTTGACAAGGAATGTCGCGATGCGAAGTGTAGCATGGTGATGGCTTTTAAGGATCTCTGGGAAAATGATTCAGAAGCGGGTAAAATTAATTATTTAAATTCAAAAAAAATTTATAAAAAAACTTTAAAAAATACAAAAATAACATATTATAATGATTATAAAGAAAAACTTGCATCTGCCAAAAACGCGAGCTTTTTTTGGACCATAGTAAATAGTAAACGTCGTAAAGGCAATAGTAATAAAGATAATATTACTCTAGAGAAGTGGCAGTCTCACTTAAATGTGATGTTTCCACAAGTCAACGAAGAATGGCCTATTTTACCCCAGATAACACATCCCATACTAGACAAATATATTGAAATAAAAGAAATATTAAGTAGTTTCAGTAAATTTAAGGAAAAAAAGTCTCCTGGAGTTGACTTAGTAAATTTCAGTTTTCTCAAGAGACTTCCAGAAAACTGGATGCTGTTTCTCGAATACTTTTATAATAAAATATTAGACTCTGAAAAAGTCCCGAAAGCCTGGGGCTCCTTGGTTATCTCCATGCTACATAAAAAGGGCAATTTGTCCGAACCAGAAAATTTTAGACCAATAACCTTGGTAAACAATATAGCAAAGGGATTCACTCAAGTCTTGTCAGAGAGACTAATAGAATGGATGGATGAAAACAGCGTTGTCCCCGAATTTCAATCCGGTTTTAGGCGGGGTAGGGGGTGCGTCGACAATTTATACACTTTACAATCACTGATCCAAATTCATCTTGTACACCCGCAAAGCGCTGTGTTTGCGGCGTTTGTTGATTTCAAGAGTGCCTTTCCGTCGGTATCGCACGGCCTGCTTTGGTCTAAATTACACGCAAAAGGAGTAAGCACAAAGTTTATTAATGTTCTAAAGAGCTTTTATGAAAATGCTTCAGCGGCGATAAAAAACGGACGAGGTATGACTGATTTTGTAAAAGTATCGCAAGGTGTTTTGCAGGGGGAGGTGTTAAGTCCTCAACTTTTTTCAATTTTTACTAGTGATACCCTGGCGGAATGGTTGAACGCGGATCGGACGCCGTTGCGTCCAATTCGCGTCTTACCGCGGACGCTCTTGTATTTTTGTTATTTTTAAATTTTAAATAATGAAAAAAGGTTAAAAAATTATTAGAAACTATAAAAAAGTATTAAAGAATCGAATAATACCATATTTATGCATGATTAATGCAAAATAAGTTAAAAATTAATACTTAAAAAAAAGGTAAATATGTGAAAGTTTATCATGAAATTTGTGTGCAATTTAACATAGAGATATAAGAATAGAGTACGCAAGCGAGCAAAAGGAGCGATAGTCGTTTTAGAGAGAGACAGCGGTTTTATCGGCCTACTGTCTTTCCTTCTCTGGTAACGCATGCGCGGTTGCGAAACAGCTGAAAGTGTGTAGGAATGTTTTATACTCTGAAAAAACATTGTTTATTATTTAATAAAGAAACAGGATTATTTAGTTTATTATTTAGTTTTTATTAATTTAATCATGGTAATGAGCTTTTTGAATTTAAAAGACTCGGATAATCGCGCATGCGTCATTAGAAAAGGTAAGAGAGTAGGCCGACATTGCCGCTGTCTCCGTCTAAAACAACTGTCGCCGTCTCTTATGGGAAACTAACCAACTCGCGCACTCTATTCTTATATCTCTATGGTTGTTTACAGGAAATAATATTAAAAAAGAACATTAAAAAAGTAAATTTCTACAATTTAGAATTACTATTTTTGACAGAAATTAATTAAAATAAAAGTAATAAAAATAAATGTTCCAACAATAAGAATTTACCGACAACAAGGCGTAAGTTCATGTGGTGAAATGCTAGATGGCAGCACATAAACTAATCAAATCTTTTTAAATGGAACAAGAAGAAAGAGAATCTCAAAACTTATAATCGAATGCAAAACTTGTTTGTCACATTTCACTAAAAATTCATCACGCTTAGGTTATAAAGGGCTCTGATGTCAAATTCAATAATAATAATTTTTAAAAATTAATAATAATAACCAATAAATTATTTTTTTAGATTTATCTCAAATTTACGAAACGGGGATTTTAGAGGGCAATAATATCGAAGTTAATAATAATAATAATTTTGAAAAATTCAAAATGTCTAAAAATTGTTTATTTAAATTTCTTTATAATTCACCACTTGGCGATTATAGATGGCGCTGATGTCAAATTTAATAATAAAATTTCTTTAAAATTAAAAATGGTTGCAAAAAGAAAGTTTTTCAGATTATTCTAAAAATAATTATTTTAAGGTATATAGAGGGCGTTGAGGTAGAATTTCATAATTTTCAAAAATTCAAAATGGCGATCAAAAAATAGATTTTTCATATTTCTCTAAATATAGTCGTTTAGTGATATAGAGAGCGCTGAGGTAGAATTTCATAAGTTAAAAAAATTCAAAATGGCGGCAAAAATGTTTTTTCAGATTTTTTTAAAAATTAACACTCGGGGCTTATAGATGGCGCTGATGTCATATTTAATAATAAAATTTGATTAAAATTAAAAATGGTGACAGAAAGGAAGTATATTTAAATTATTCTAAAAATCATCATTTAGAAGTAAAATTTAATATTTTTCAAAAATTCGAGATAGATACCCTTAAATTGTTTGTTTAATTTCTTTAAAATTTATCGCTCAGGGGTTTTAAAGAGCATTGCTGTCGAATTTAATAATAGTAATAATTTTCGGAAATTCAAAATGGTACCTAAGAAGCAAAAAATTGTAGCTTATGTTTGTGATTTTTAAAGTAAAAATACACAAAGGGAATCAACTCTCAATATAATTTATTCGTTTTTAAATTTTCATAACATTGAAAATATTTAATTAAAACTGATTTTACTTTACATAATAAAAAATAAACTTTTAATTAAGATAAAATTACGACAAACATAACCTTAAAATGATTTTCTTCTTAGGTTTTAAAAAAACTGAGAAAACATTTTTTGCCGCCATATTGCACTTTTTAAATTATGAAACTCTACCTCAGCGCTTTCTATATCACTAAACGACTATATTTAGAAAAATCTGAAAAATCTATTTTTTGATCGCCATTTTGAATTTTTAAAAACTATAAAATTCTACCTCAACGCCCTCTATATACCTTAAAATAATTATTTTTAGAATAATCTGAAAAAGTTTCTTTTTGACACTATTTTTAATTTTAAACAAATTTTATTATTAAATTTGACATCAGCGCCATCTATAATCGCCGAGTGGTGAATTATAAAGAAATTTAAATAAACAATTTTTAGACATTTTGAATTTTTCAAAATTATTATTATTATTAACTTCGATATTATTGCCCTCTAAAATCCCCGATTCGTAAATTTGAGATAAATCTAAAAAAATAATTTATTGGTTATTATTATTAATTTTTAAAAATTATTATTATTAAATTTGACATCAAAGCCCTCTATAACCTAAGCGTGATGAATTTTTAGTGAAATGTGACAAACAAGTTTTGCATTCGATTATAAGTTTTGAGATTCTCTTTCTACTTGTTCCATTTAAAAAGATTTGATTAGTTTATGTGCTGCCATCTAGCATTTCACCACATGAACTTACGCCTTGTTGTCGGTAAATTCTTATTGTTGGAACATTTATTTTTATTACTTTTATTTTAATTAATTTCTGTCAAAAATAGTAATTCTAAATTTTAGAAATTTACTTTTTTAATGTTCTTTTTTAATATTATTTCCTGTAAACAACACATTTCGTTAAATTGCACACAAATTTCATGATAAACTTTCACATATTTACCTTTTTTTTAAGTTTTAATTTTTAACTTATTTTGCATTAATCATGCATAAATATGGTATTATTCGATTCTTTAATACTTTTTTATAGTTTCTAATAATTTTTTAACCTTTTTTCATTATTTAAAATTTAAAAATAACAAAAATACAAGAGCGTCCGCAGTAAGACGCGAATTGGACGCAACGGCGTCCGATCCGCGTTCAACCATTCCGCCAGGGATATATTGAGCAATTTCTGAAATCAGAAGGTTGTCGTGGACTTTCCATTAATCACTTGACAGAAGTGTTAATAATAGCTTACGCTGACGACATTGTTTTATTATCCGATACGCCGCTGGAGCTTTCAAGAATTCTCGAAGCTTTGAGAAAGTACTGTCTTTCAAATCAACTGATTGTAAATATAAATAAAACAAAAATAGTAATATTTCGTAAAAATGCGAAAGTTAATGTTAATCATTTTAAATATTTTAAATACGGTAATGAAAAAATCGAGGTTGTGAATGAATATTTATATTTAGGGGTGTTATTTACAAGTTTTTGTTCTTTTTCTGATAATATGAATAGAGTAGCTACCTCGTCTAAGGCTGCAGAGAATGCGACTCTAAGCGTAATTACTAATATTAAGGCGGACACTTGGTCCACCTACAATAAACTCTTCGAGAGTTTAGTTAAAAGTATTCCGTTCTACGCAATAGAGGTCTGGGGTCAGAAATGCACAAATTCATTAGAGAAAATACAATTATCTTTCTTTAAAAAACTCTTATGGATCCCTCTTAATACTCCGAGTTATGCGGTGCGTTTGGAGACGGGGAGGCTGCGCTTGGCTTGTGCCGTGCTCTCAAGAACAATGTCTTGGATAAATAAAATAAATAAAATGGACAATACAAGGTTACCAAGGCTATGTCTTGAGAGACTGATGGAGTTGGCTAGGCGTGGAGGATCCGGTTCCGAACTCAATTGGTATTCACAAATTAAACATTTTTTTGAATATTCCGGCATGAAGGAGTTATGGGATTTATCAGATATAGAAAACTTAGTAAGAAATTCAAATGATTTAATTGCAAAATTTACGGAAAAATGCTTGCTACAGGATTTAGAGGACAGAAGCTAATCTAAAAGTCTTATAATTTGGCCGAATCTTGAAGTGCACCCTGGTCCCCAACCCTATCTCGTGAAACGTTTTGATCTTTATTATAAAAGATTATTTGCACAAGTAAGACTCGCAAATAAATTTAGAGACAGAGTCCTAAGAATAGTAGATAAACGGTTGGTCTATAGCTCATGGGTCGATTCCTGTTGGTGCTTGGAGCGTGGCAGTCTTTTTCATTTTTTAATAGAATGCAAAAATCATAATCATGTAAAACGAGAATTTTTTCCGAGCAGCCTAGATTGTGACGCGGAGGTAGGGTTTTGGATGAAAATAATGGACACTCAATGTACCAAAACTCTAAAACAATTTATAAGGATGATAGAAGGAATGCTGAATGAATGAGATATTTAGTACAAGTTTTATTGTTTTTGCGTGCAACCTTGGTATTCATTACTAAATTTTAATATGTATCTTTTATATCATGTATTGGACCGAATGGTTTGAAAATAAATTATATATTGAATAATGAACAATAATTTAAGGAAATGAAGAAACTTTTTACCTTTTAGAATATATCGTTGATCACGTTTTCTGTGCCCAGTTTGATGCATACACACACTAACAGATTATCACATACACTTGTCTAAACATTAGTTCCAATGTAGATTCGGTCTTCTGAATATGCCGCTAGATCAACCGATCACAGTATCATTAGAAGCACTTCCTATTCGTAAAAGATTAACAAAACGTCCAATTCCGACCAATGATATTTTTATATTCCTAGGTCCGTAAGTGCACTTCATGTATGGAACCCTACTAGTATAGGTCTATTTTAAATATATTCAATTGATAAGTTTAGAGTTTATTTCCGAAAATTTTTTTAATTCCTATATGTTTAAAATAAAATTGGGAGAATGTGAACAATTATGTAAAATTATTTTTGCATATAATTAAAAATATTGTTTTTAAGGGTAGGTTAATGCAATTTTAATATAGAGCTTTAATGGGAAAATTGCATCGACTTTGACCTGCCCTTAAGGAGGAATGGTACACATTACATAACCTCAAAACTGAGAAACTGTTTTTTAACAATTTAGACCAGTTTTGAGGTTATGTTAGCATGTACCATTCTTCCTTTATTTAAAAGAATAATATAAATATGTATTGTAATTTGTTCAAAATATAATTGAGAGACTATTTCAATTTCAATTAATCGAAAAATAATAATCTTAATTAAATTGTAATTGTAATTGTTAATAGTATAAAAAAATAATAAAAGTAATAATTATTTTAATACATTTATTTTTTAGATATTCATATTTATACACAGTAGTTGCTATTATTACTCATAATAATAATAATAATCATTATGTAATAGTTAGCAATAGTGGCTTACTTCATTTTGCACTTCTGATTGACAAAAATACAAAAATTATTAATTAATTTATAATTAATATGAAAAAGAACGCTCATTCTCGAGATCGAGATAGTCATTTCTTATATCTTATCTTGAGTAATTGATGATACTCTTGCGGTTACTTTCTATATTTCTTCATTACATTACACTTAGTTTCTCTAGTATCATCCAAGTGTATACAAAGTTATCAACTTAAAATTATATTTTTAAAAGCAAACGAAAAAGTGTTTCAATCTGATGTGTATGAATATCTTATATGATACATAAATGAGCAGCTATATTTAATGTACTTGGATGTTTTTTTCAAAATCTTGAGAACGTGGCGGTTGTAAGAAATCTTTTGCAATCAAAACCACATTTACTATAAATGGGTCTTAAACCTACATTTTATGTCAACCACTTTTTTTACGCACCTATATTTTTATTTGTTTATCAATAATTTTACATACGTTTTTACACACATAAAAAATCCCTTTAAGAAACAAATACATTTTTTCCCTTACTTAAATTCAGTGGGCCTACGCTCCCCACAGGTTTTCTCTGGTCATATTATTATTATTTTTATTATTATAATAATTATTATTAATATTATTATTATTATTATTATTATTATTACACATTATTTACTTTTGTGCTGCGTAAAAAACTATGAAATTTTTCAAAAATGTCGGTCTTCGAATTCCGTAATCACAACAATAATAAGAAAAATAAACATTCATTTGCCACGCAATTTAAGAGCCTTTAAAGAGGTTGAAAAAACAATAATAAAGCAAAAGATAGAATTTCATAAAATATTTTATCAAATGATCAATAGTCAAAAGATTTCTCATGAATATAAAATGTAGAAGAATGAGTGCAATTATAAGTACTTGGCACGAAAGTTCTGAAATGTATCAGGAGAGATTTAATGTGAAAAATCATGATGAATCACTCGGCTCATTGATCTGACTTTGTATTCTCTCAAAAAAAAGAAAAAAAAATTGAAAAATGACCGTCGAGAACCAAATTGAAACATCACAGGTGCATAAAAATTAAAAATCGTCCAGTTACAAATCTTATTTACGTTTAAACTTTATATAATTTGTACAAAAGAGAAGATTTGACGAAGAACGTTCTTCACATTTATTAATAAAACGCTTTTAATTAGTTGCAAATGTTTATATATATTCAAAGTACGAAAATCTAAGCAAGTGGCAATTTTTAATTCTCTTTTGCAAACTAATTTTCTTTCGCAGTGTAATTATGCAATAGTTACAAACAAATTAAAGATTTATATCTTGCGTAGGTTGTAAAAATTTTAATATTCACACATTCCACATAAAATGTTTCACGAAATACACACATTTGCGACTCTTTTAGTGTAATAATTTTACTCCTATATATCACTTCTATACAATATCGATCAGTTATGGTCGCATTTTTTTCGAGGATTTTTTTAAATTCCAAAATCGAGTGCATCACATATAAAACTATGCATTTTTTGTTTTTTTTATTTCTCAGAATTAACGCAATGTACTGTTAATTGCACTAATTATACATTGAGATAAAGAGCAAAAAAAGGGAAGAGGAGAATCTATCTATTTACTTCTTTTTTTTTCATTTTTAAGTGAAGCGTTGTTATACAACTCATGAAAACTGAAATTTTCTCTCGTAGGAAATGTGGAAGTACTAAACAATTTTTTTTTGTCAATTGTCCATACATTAAATATACATTTCTAATTGTGCATATATGAAAAAAGTAAATAATTGTTTAAAGTTCAGCATAAAAGCATCGTTTGATAATCGCGAAGAAGGTTTTAAAGTTTATTTGAATAGTATTATAAAAAGTCTTAAGTAATCGGAATTTAGCCAGCTAAATCAAATACAGCTTAATTCATTACAAAATAGCAATTATTCACAAATACAATTTGAAGCACTTTTTTTTATTTCCCCTCCCCATTAAGCAAAGTAACTTAAATTTCATAACCACTCTACCCCTCAAATTACGTAATTTGTGAAAGTTCCCATAGAAAATAAAAGATATATTATAATTATTATTATTTGCGTTAAATAAAATGTATAGTACTCAAATTATTGAACCCATAAAGGGGTTTCGTCAATGTTATTTTTCTGAACTTTTATTATATTTTGAATATCAAAGTGATTAAAATGGTCTAGTTCTTCCATACTTGATAACTCCCAATTCATTTACACCATAAAAGTTCTGGCACAAATCGCGTGACTTAAAAAATTATATAGTTCCGTGAAAAATTGTTTAAACATTTTCTGTCTCTTTTTTCAAATGAATTTGAAAAATTCTTTTCTTAGAGACGATCATTTTCGATTGGTCAAGAGCAATGTATTTTCGATTTCTTTTATGTTTCTTGTTTTCTTTTGCTTGACTTAAAAAAAATATTTAATTACCACCGGTCCAATAACTTGGACTATAACCCGGTTTTGTCTGAGCTTTATTTTGAGAGCTTGGATTTGTCCTTTGACCTGTGCTATTGCCTCCGTCTTGATGTAAAGGTTGATGCAACTGATGCGGTTGATGCATTGCTGGAATAAATAAATGAGGAGTCCCATAGCTTCCAGGAAGACCTGCGTTCTGACTGCCAGTTAAACCAAAAGGTGGTGGTGTTGCAGAATGGAAAGTTTGCTTATCGTAAGACTGTAAACAATAAATGCATATTTTAGAAAAACATTTTTATCGGGCATTCGCTCAGGCTTCGCACTCCTTAGTTAGTAAATAAAAAGTATGTCATTTGAGGGCATGACCGTTCTAATTATACGACTTTGATTTTTTTTTACAATTTTTTATAAAATTTTTAAACAAAAAACGTCTTTTTTTAGTATACAATGCAGATCTTCTTCAGATCTTTATTTCAATTATTTAACAAATTTTTGACTAAAATTTTTCTCCAAATTAATTATTTTTAATTATTTTAATGAAATTCTTCACAATATTCAATTGTCTTAAATTATTTTTCAATTAAAAATTCTATGAAATTCAACAATTCTTTACAATTTAAAAAAAAATCAAATAAAATTATCAAAAATTTCGATTTAAAACTATTAAAAATTTGATTATTTTAATTATAACTCTTCCGAAATTAAATTATTTTAAATAATTAATAATATTCTTCAAAAATTCAATTACCTGAAAGCATTTTTAAATTAAAAAAAAAACATATTTTCAAAATTAAAACTTTATTGTTATTTAATATAAAATAATAACAATTTTTGAATTTGTTTATGAGTGTCGTCTTTAGTAGTATAAACTGAATATGCACAAAATTTCAAAGAAATCCATCAATATTTGGCGAATTTACGACGAGTTATGTTTTAAAAGTTCATTAAATTATCGTAAACAAATTTTCTACTTTTTTGACTCTATTAATTTTAATATTTGTTTTATAAAAAAATCTCAAAGGAACAAATGGTGCGCATTTTTAATTCCTATAGGATAGCGTTTTTAAAAAATTATAATTTTGAATTTTATTTTTTTTCATTTTTGGACCACCTGACTGTTCGCAAGGCGACTGTCTCAAGCGTAGAGCCCCCTATAGAATCGAAGTCCTCAATTTATAATAAATTCTTCATCAACAGAAATCATTTTTGGAATGTAAATCGACTAAATTGAATTATGCTACGTGATCTCGTCCTCTAGATCAATTGTAGTAACGCTAGTTGCTTGATCCCAACCACAACTTTTTTAAAACTCGCGCTTATTTTCGACTCCAGGGGGCGCTCTATCCGTCGCGTTGCTCTATCACCAATATCACCATTACGCTTTTTTGTGCGATCCTTTCCACACGTCAGTGAAATAAAGTATCGAAAAAAGTTAGTTTAAACAATGGGCCGCGACAAAAAAAGACACCAGTGTCACAAATCGTCACGCAAGAGATCGAGAGAAAAAGACATCAACCGATTGTACGAAGAATTGGACCATTTACAAAAGAAAATAAGAAGCGGAAGATCACCATCCAAACAGCGCGCAAAACGATCGAACGACAACGAGAATGGCGAGCGGAACCCGCGAGGTCCGTCACATTCAGGTCGTGACCGGTCCCGGTCAAAATCGAACGAGAGAAAATCTCATAAAAAATCAAAATACGACAAAAAGAGCGGTGAGCGTAGCCCGAGAGGTGCGTCACGCCAAAGTCGCAGACGCAAACGTTCCCCGTCTATTTCGTCCACTTCATCCTCCACTTCTAAATCTTCACGAACATCATCGTCTACTTCGAGTTCCTCATCAAGTTCTAGCGATTCGTCTCATCAATCTCGTGCAGATTCAGGTAAAAGTGTCGAAGTTCGCTTAAGCGTCAGTCGGAAGAATTCCGAAGACAGCCGGAAACAGACGAACCTTCAAGACATAGTCATTGATACCGAAACATTGAATCTATTAGGCAATATAGACGAAAACAAAAAATTTGGCCATGAAATTAACAGTGCTTTGACAGAAGTCTGGTAAAAAATATTAAAAATGGGACTCTCCAAAGAAACGAAAAAGGAACTCGTCGAGAAATATCCCACTGCCACCAATTGAGGCACCCAATCGAACAACCGGTCGCGAGCTCGGGCCGGACGCTCGGAAGCCAGTCAGCGTACGAAAATGTCAATAAAATTGAAATTCAAAATTTTAATTTTTTAAATATATTACCTTATAGAAAATTAAAAGGCGCATCTTTTTTTCCTTTAACTTTTTTTGCATCTTTTTTTCTTAATAAGAAATTTTCCATCTTTCTCCGTTTTCGAAATATAAGAGAAAAACTGTTTTTTAAAAAAAGAACATTTTCATTGTTTTTTTGACTTCAACTAGCGACAGCTTAGACAATTTTACGAATTTCTTAATGAAACAAAAACAAAAATACGTGTTATTATATTCTACGAGTGACTAAAAAAAGAAAAAAGTTGTTTTGATTAAAAATAAAAAAGTTATTAATTTTCTAATGAGACATTGCAAAATTCATGAACTGCAATTTTCACCCTGTGAGGAATTTTCGTAAATTTTCACCAGCAACAAACTTCCAGTGAGAAAGTTGTTCATTAAGGTACAAAGAAGTTTTCTGGAAAGTTACAATGCAATTGAACAATTAATAACAAAATGGTGAATGTTTAAACTTTAAAGTTGCGCGAGCGGCTGAACGTTTGGCGTGCGTTTGCTACGTAATAACTTAATTTCTTAATATAGGCCAGTCAATAAAGACAAAAAGTGCCATTAAATGTAGACAGGCAACTCTAACCGGAATTTGGTAGTTTGGGGGGGGGTAGTATAAAGGCCCCATAGTTTGCTCTCGATTTCCGGTTGCAGAAGTTGTTGTAAACAATGGTTGAAGTTGGTGAAAAGTGGTTTTTGCGTGCTCGTTGCTTTCCTCTACATTTTAGAGGAAAAAGTTGTTATTAGAAAAAAAAGGTATTAAAAATACCTACAAAATGGTGGGTCGAAAGTTAAAATCGGATTATTTGTTTAAAAGTTATTGAATTTAAACCATTAAAAATGGTACTTTTTTAATTGTTTAATAACTTTGTTAATAATAATTCGATTGAAGTGAAACTTTCTGAAAATGTGCCCCTCGCGATACTGAACAAAATGAAAAAACTTCGAGTTTAAACGGATGAATAGTTTATAAATTATTCCATTTGTTAATTAAAAACATGTTGTTTTTCAACCTAATTTCTACAGAACGATATGGATCGAATTCAATTTTTTTTCTTTCATTTTACTCTTGAAGAGTGATACTATCATGTACATAAAAGAAAGAATTGAAATTCATCAATTAATTGCATAATTATGGATAAAGAAAAAACGGTACGTTTTTTCGTTATAAACAATTGAAATTACTCGACCAGTTTTTACTCTATCGAATTCTAATAAACGCCATTGAATTTCTTTTTTCTTTACAAAACTTTTAAAAAAAAGAAAAACAATCTAGGTCAAAGGGGGGGGGGGAGATAATTTTTTTTTTTCAAAAAAATCCTAACACTATAATTATTAATATTTTTTATTCAAATTTACAGTACTTGTAGTTTAATATGTGTACTGTTAAATAAAAAATTGTAAACATTGAAAGAAATTTTTTTATTATTTATAATGACGGTTAAAGAGAGCTCATCATTTTACCTTGCTCCGGAAGGCGGAGTGGGGGAACTCGGTGGCGCGTGACAAACGCCGCCACAAAATCAAACTCGCCCGATCAAAATTACAAAATTTGTTATAACTCGGTTAATTATTAACCGATTTTAATCTTTCTTTTTTTGAATTCATGTTATTTTTTCTCCTCTTTTCAAAAATAAATTTACATTTTTAATAAAAAATTTTTTTTTGCTAATATTTAAACATTTTTTTTTAATAACAATTTTTTTTAACTAATTCAAGTTTTTTTAAAATTTTTTTTAACTGCATATAATGACAGATATTTTAGTGTCTTTTTTTGTTTAACGTTTTTTAATGTCGGACCCAAAATTTTTCGTGACCTCGTGGTCACGTGAAGACAGCAGAAAATAAAAGAATATATAACAAAAATTTGTTGTCAAATTATATAAATTATTATTAAAATACATTAATTTTTGTTATATACATTAAAACATCATTACATTATTTTAAAAGTAATATAAATCAAAATTTTTTTAATTATGAAAAAAATGACATAGTGCTACACGAATGTGTATGAATAATTTTAAAAAACGTTAAACATAAAAAGACACTAAAATATCTGTCATTATATGCAGTTAAAAAAAAATTTAAAAAAAACTTGAATTAGTTAAAAAAAATTGTTATTAAAAAAAAAATGTTTAAATATTAGCAAAAAAAAATTTTTTATTAAAAATGTAAATTTATTTTTGAAAAGAGGAGAAAAAATAACATGAATTCAAAAAAAGAAAGATTAAAATCGGTTAATAATTAACCGAGTTATAACAAATTTTGTAATTTTGATCGGGCGAGTTTGATTTTGTGGCGGCGTTTGTCACGCGCCACCGAGTTCCTCCACTCCGCCTTCCGGAGCAAGGTAAATTGATGAGCTCTCTTTAACCGTCATTATAAATAATAAAAAAATTTCTTTCAATGTTTACAATTTTTTATTTAACAGTACACATATTAAACTACAAGTACTGTAAATTTGAATAAAAAATATTAATAATTATAGTGTTAGGATTTTTTTGAAAAAAAAAAATTATCTCCCCCCCCCCTTTGACCTAGATTGTTTTTCTTTTTTTTAAAAGTTTTGTAAAGAAAAAAGAAATTCAATGGCGTTTATTAGAATTCGATAGAGTAAAAACTGGTCGAGTAATTTCAATTGTTTATAACGAAAAAACGTACCGTTTTTTCTTTATCCATAATTATGCAATTAATTGATGAATTTCAATTCTTTCTTTTATGTACATGATAGTATCACTCTTCAAGAGTAAAATGAAAGAAAAAAAATTGAATTCGATCCATATCGTTCTGTAGAAATTAGGTTGAAAAACAACATGTTTTTAATTAACAAATGGAATAATTTATAAACTATTCATCCGTTTAAACTCGAAGTTTTTTCATTTTGTTCAGTATCGCGAGGGGCACATTTTCAGAAAGTTTCGCTTCAATCGAATTATTATTAACAAAGTTATTAAACAATTAAAAAAGTACCATTTTTAATGGTTTAAATTCAATAACTTTTAAACAAATAA